ATATATATTATACCAGGCAGTAAAATCCATGACTAAACCTGTTTATATACAGACACTTAGCTGCTTCAGTTATCTGGTGACAAACTTAACTGAGTGTCAAACCTAAAGTGTGTCATTATGAGTCATGATTAGATCCTCTTGACCCTTGACCTGAAAAGAGTCCAAACTTCCCAAACTTTTTTGTGTGTTTGTGTTGAATCACAACTCTTAGAGATAACTAAATTTATCTACATGTGTTGTAGACAAACACTATTCTAAGTGAGCATTTATTTTTGCTGTTTTGGACCCAGGTCAATACATAAAAGAGTGATGGACGTATTCTCATTCATAACTTCAGCTGTTCTGAATTTAAGCAAAATGTCCCGGTTTAGCCCATCACTCCTGAGATGATGAAAAGCAAATGTGCCTCAGGCTAAAACCTCTTGACCTGTGGAAAGACTGCAGGGAGGTGATGGCAGCGAACGCCTGATAGCGGCCAGTCACAGGGGCCTAAAGGTGCATCCTGGACATGTTCTTTTGGCAGCAGGGCTCAGCCACAAACAGACACACACCGTATCTCCAAGTAGTGGAAGAAGAATAACAGACGACACTTCAGATCTTAAAGCAGAAGGGGAATAATCTGCACCTCGCCCTGGTGGCAGAAGAATGACGACAGGTTTGATGTGCCGTTCACCACCGAACTGTGAATCATGAGCTTGACCAAAGTCTTTTGATTGAACAAAGCTCCTCTTCCCATAACGCCATTTTAAAATCCATTTATTTATTTATTTTTAATATATCAATAGCAGAATTTGCTTGATCAACCATGTCTGGGCTTTACATCTTGTGACATTTTGATGTAATCCAAGGCTGCATGCGGTGGCTTTGGAAATGCATTAAAAACAAAAGAGAATTTGTTTATTTTAATTGGAATAAAAGGCCATTGCATTGATTCTTGAATGGGGCGTAAGAACACTGGGTCTAAGTGTGTGTGTGATCTTTTCATACTGCCTTTTGAGTGTGTTCAGGCTTACCAGTTTCATTTAAGCTTTGATCACATTACAGCCATTCTCACTGTTAGTCAATGAACAGAATAAATGTTCAATTAGAGCCTGATGCACGCAACTGTGACACTGTGTTTGAGTGATACTCTGTGTGCATGTGCATGTGAGAGGGCGAGAGCTCCAGTGTGTGTCTGTTGATGTGTAATGATGTGTAAATATATTTATGGCTCAGGGTCACAGAGGTATTAACCTGACCCAGGCTGCCGTTCTCTCTGGGGAGGCTCCCCGCTGCTGATTGTTCAGTTTGCTGGGCTTTATGTGTTTGTAGGTCCTTTATCCCTAAAAAACACAACATGACTGAGGTAAAACATCAACGTTCCAAAGGTAAAACTACACAAAATATATAGTTTGGACCTTTTAAAATAAGATTCTGTAGGAAATTTATGAAATATAAATGTCTGTTTTTAATAGATTGAACAAGCTCATGTTGTAAGAGCATAATTCTGAATGGATGATGAGCTAAAGGCTCCGCCAAGCTTAAGGTGGATTACTGCCGTCTTAAAATATGTTTCAGTAGTTCATGCAAGTTATATTTTAATACCTTTATGCTATGATCAAATGGAATAAAAACCATGCACATCAACAGCTAAATGGACAGCAGGTGGTTGGCTACAGTGCAAGTGGTCCTAAAGCAAAACCAGAAAAATAGACTTGCTCACGTCAAGACTTTAATTTGGCTCATTTATTAGCACCAGGAGACGTTCGAGCACAGCTTTTCCTAAATTTAAGTTCCTCAGTGTGCACGTTTATTTTTCAGTTTTTGCTTAAACATTTATTAACAATTATTCCCAGACATATTTCATAAAAGTCTTACCAGAAGGGCTGCACCAGAAACATTCAGCTAGTTGTTGCTGCCACGATTTATTCACGCTGGAAACCTTTATGCAAAAAAAAACAAAAAAACAACAAGCAACAAAAAAAAACTATTGCAAAATATGAATAGTTGATTAATGCTTTTTATTCAGTAGCACTCACATGAACTGCTATGAGAGTTTGGAGGCTCACACTGATTTAAGAATAAATGAATTCACTCTGACTGTGGCTCTGCTCAGGTTAGCCTTTAGCTTACAGCTAGTTGCTGCTTCCACTGTGTGCACGCTAGAAATGGGTTGTAAAGACCGCATCATGCAAGACTTGTTAGTACTGGAAAAAGGAGCAAAAAAGTGGTTTTATGAATCGTTATGAATGTTTTGCCACTTTGGTCTTCGTGGCACAGCTCAGCCAGAAATAAACTCTATAGTTTCTATTCAAATATCTTTTTGCAACAGGTAAGATATTAACTGTTCATAATCTTTACACAGAACCTCTCTTCAAAAGATCTGAACTATCCCTTTAAATGACAACCAGTATGATCCACAACTTGTGTTGGACCTTGTTCCTAGAGGCAGCTGGAGTTCTTTAACCCTGGGTCCGTGCTACCTGACTTCCTGCTGAGCTCAGATGAGTTGCTTTAACCAAGCAGCAGAGGGATTCTTTAAATGTCCCATCAAGCTGGCACGTGCCAAAGGCCTACATCTTATTCAAGTTTTAAACCTCTAATTGGCAACGTTTAAAAGGCGTTTAAGAGTGCCCTTCCTCTCCCTTTTCTCATTTCCCATTTAATGTGTTGTGTCAAAGTCTATTACCTCAGTTGGACGTTTCTGTCCCTTAAGTTGAAAAAACGGAGGGGGGGTGGGGGGTTAGAGTTGAGTGGGGGAGAGAAAGAAAAAAAGAAGCCATCAGCCGAGGTTTGCCAGGTCGATAAAGCTTTTAGATTTGGAGATGTTTTCAGGGGGAGCCCATTTCCCGCGGCTAAGAGTTGTTAATGGAGCTTAAGGAATTATCTTATGACTCTCGGTGTGAGAGCAGTTTATTTCCAGCCCGGACCTCCCTCTCTCCCTCTCTCCCTCTCTGTCTCTCCTTCCCGAGTCGGAGTGGCTGAATATGCTGCTGTCAAAGCGGCTTAATGAAAAGTAACGCGTGGCTGATTACACTTTTATTTGGCCTGCATGTAAAAAGCTGCTGTTAATTTCCCCTCGCGCTCCCTCCGCGCGCACGGATTTGCCATGCTTGAATGATTTGGCTGTAGCTGGCTTCCCTTTTTCTCTCCCTCTTTCTCTCCCAGGATCTGTTCTAATGTCTCTTCCCTTCTCCAGTGAAAGGCCACTTTGCTTTGGAGGCCTAATAAAATCTGTCTTTATCCTAAAGTCATGAAGTTTTGAGACTTTCTAATTGAATTCTGCTCTGATTTCCCATCAGCTGCTTTGGAAAGAAGAAAACAACCTGCATGCGCAGTTCGATACCCAGTCCGAACCGAGCTGCATCAAAACCAAGTTTAGATGTTTGAAAAGGGAGGCCCGACACCTCCCGTTAAAACTCCTGCTTTCTTTTAATTTGAAGACCTGCAGGAAAGAAAAATAAATAAATAAAACAATTTAAAGCTTGGCCGCTTTCTTGCAAAGGAGATCTGAATTGTTGGTGCTTTTCCCATTAAAATTCATCAGCAACACCCCCCCCCCCCCCCCCACACACACACACACACACACACACACACTTCTTGACAGCTGCATCCTGGGCCATGTGTTGAGATGTTTCCTTCATTTTATCAGAAAGAGGGCAGAAATCAATACTTTGACATGAAATATGACTGTGAACATCCCAATTACAGCTGTTTAGAAGGAATTAATGAGGCAGATCTTGGAGACTGATATTTTTCTATCTTGGGGCGGCGAGGGGGAGGGCGGGGGTGCTTTATTTTCTAGCTGTCACTTAACGGAAGAGGACGTTTTATAAGTTAGCTAAATGTAAAAGTCTTATTTTTGTGGAAGTAACAACATGTGAACAGAAATCAGGTTCTTCGGCTTCTTCAGGACCTTGGACAGCGACCTGCTGCTCAGGAACCGACTGCTTTTATTTCATTTCTTTTTATTTATTTATTTTTTTCGTGAACAAAACGCTCCGTCCTCAGAGAACAGTGCATGTGACTTTATTTCCCTCCTTTTCATAGTGATTCTCTTCAGCTGAGTCTTAAACGATAAGCATTTACAGTAGCATGCGCTGGAACAGAAACAATCCTGTAAATAACATTTCTTCCCCACACGTTGTAAAATGATACTTTAAATATATTTTCTTTTGCGTGCCTCGAGTTAAGTTAAACTAAAATGACCCGGTTGTTAGTTTGTTCTGTCCAATGTAACAGTTTTTGATTAAAAAAAGAAAAAAAAAGAAAGAAGAAACCATCAGGGGACCAGGTTTATCCACTTGATTTCCAGTCCCAGCTACAGCCCGGGAAGCTTCGTGTGGTTCTGTTAGGAGCAGAACAGCTTGTTGACAGTTTTGGGGAAGCTCATGTCTTTGGGGGGGTCCTGATGCTGCTGCAGGCCCGCCGCCTCCAGCATGGCGCCTTTGGTGTTCGTACTCCAGGACACGGGGTTGTTGCTGCCCACAGCCTGGCTCAGACCCGAGCTGTGCCTGAACAGGGGGTCGTGGAAGACCCCGTCCACCCAGTTCCTCAGCGTCGTGACCGGCGAGTCCTGCTGCCTGCTGCTGTTCGGGCCGGTCACGGGGGAGGAGGCGACGGGGGACGGGGTGAGAGAGGCGGAAGGGGGAGGCGACGCAAGCTGGCACCTGAGCATGCAGGACGGGTATTCAGTCTGGTTGAGGGACGTGGCGGTCTGCGCCAAACTCCAGATGCGCGGCTTCCCGTCCAACAGCTGCTGCTGGCTGTTCGGGTTGTTATTATAACACGACTTGACCTGCTGCTGCCTGCTGTCCGACTGGAAGTCCTCCGGGTTTGACTTGAGACAAGTTTTGCCCAAGTCCTGCTCGGTCCCCCCGAGAGGAGCGGGGATGGAGAGCTTGAGAGAGGCGCTCTTGATGAGCTGCTCCGCGGAGCAGTCGGCGGCCATGTGCGCGTTCAGGTGGTACCGGTGCTTCAGCTCGCACTCGGAGCTCTCAGACTCCAGCGCCTCGAAGTCCTCCAAGTCGCTCAGCTGCAGCTCCTTCTCGGCCCGACTCCTGCTCTCTGCAGCAGGTCAGGGAGCAGAGAGGACAAACAAGTCACTGAACTGCATCAGAAATAATGTGATAACTATGTAAATATATACACAGTGAGCCGTTATCTGTAAATATTTAACAACAACTTCAGCCCAGGCCTTTAAGAGTCTTAAACTGTGTATAAAAGTCATCTTCGTCACTTTCCCTGTGATAAAACTGACGCTTCATCAATCAACTGTTTGTCTTCATCAAACTTCAAGACAGCTGACGTCAGCTCATTTAAAGCCTTCCAACTAGCAAAGCATTTAAATCATCATGATGTAAAGTGTACTGAATATACTTCTGATTTTATTTTAATAATAAAGCACAATTCAAAAAAAAAAAAAAAGAAAAACGCAGCGATCTGTGGTTTGAATAAACAAAACGTGTAAAATGATGACATGATGAGTCAAATGAAGCTTTCAAAGTTTTAAGCACCTGTAGTGTAAACAGTGCACGGTCATATTATTATACCCTTTAGGTAAATCATGTGGAAAACAATGCACATGTGTATATAACAACTGGCTCTTTTTATTCCTGCAGAGTAACTTTGACACTGACCATCATCGTTATTCTCGCTTTTAATCTGCTCCTCCTGAGAGCCATCCTCGTCATCGTCATATCTCTTCTCCTCCGACCCCTTGTTCCTGGGGGGCCACGTCATCTTGTTCTCCTTCTTGAGCCTCCTCCTGGCGTTGGCGAACCAGGTGGAGACCTGCGTCAGGGTCATCTTGGTGATGATGGCCAGCATGATCTTCTCCCCCTTGGTGGGGTACGGGTTCTTCCGGTGCTCCTGCAGCCAGGCCTTCAGGGTGCTGGTGGTCTCACGGGTGGCGTTCTTTCGCCTCGTGCCCCCATCCATGGACCCATATCTGTTGGTGAGGGGGTACAAGTAAACCTGAAGTGTGTTTTCAGAAGGCCACGATGGACCCGTCTGTTCCTGGAAAGGTCCTGAATATGTTTGAAGAGACCTAAATGGTGTTCCTCTGTTCCCGCAGGATATTTTAAAGTTTTTCTTTTGAAGACGTGACTATAGAGAACAAACCTTACCAAACACATTATACTAATGCAAAATATTTTACACACTATGTGCTTCATACAAAAAAATAAAGAACAGGCAGACTAGTGTAACTTTACAGAAAAAAGGTCATTACATTTCTTGAATAGCTATAATATTTTATCTGATGAGAGTAGAAAACAGTTTTCTCCAATCCAACGCCAACAAGCCAAAACTTCAATAATCTTTAACACAGTTTATATCAGTTGTGATAAATATAGTTCAACTTATTGTTTTATCAAAGCATCCCCTTAGATCTTCCCCGGTTCCCATCCGCCCCATGAATGTGGACGACGAGCGTCCATTTAAAATGCATGCTGATGGTTGTCAGTCAGCAGTGAGCTGTAAACGTCCTCTAACAGGAACCGTTTTTTTTTATTTTTTATCAGGCCTTTATTGCTCTGAGAGCAGGTGAAGCACAGCTGAGGGAATCAGAAGGAGAGGAGCGCTCACCCATTCTTACCCTCTGCGGTTCCCCTCGCAGATAAAATAGACTGTAAAATTGCTTTATTGAGTGTAATGAGAAGCCTCAGGTTAAACAGACGGGTGTAGAAAGAAGTGATCATTTTAAAGGCCTGCTTGTTGGTCACAGTGACCCTGTCTGCTTTTAAACTGTTTGCAGAACATTCCTGCAGATGCTTTTTGTTAGTTTCTTTTTGCTCTTTATTTTGCTTCAGCAGTGATCGATACAGGGAGTTGCCTGTCAGATTTTGGGTCATGTTCTCAGCAAAACTTAGAGTCAGTATGAACAAATCAATCAGAGCGTTGTGTTGTGTGATCAAAGAAAAAAAAAAGTATCCAAAGCATTCTGTTAGAGATGCTGCTTGGTACCATTCATGTCCTTTATTTTAAACTGATCAACGGTTTTATTGGGACGTTTTCTGATTATTGGGAAGAGTTTTTGAAAAACAGCAGACTTCATTTTATCACAGAGAAATGTAAGTGCCTGCAGATGAGAACAACTTTGATCTCTCAAAAATGATTTATATGTTTGCTAAAATGTATTTCACCTCCTCCAAAAATATCTGAGAGAAACATTGTGCCCTGAAACATTTGCATAACCTCACAATATTTCTTCAATGCGGACTAAAATCAGGCCTCACAATAAGTCATCATCATATTTAAATCTGCAGCACCGTGAAACACGTAGCCCCATTTGAGAAGTTAATGGAAGTGGACCGTTGCAGCTCCTTACCTGTCGTACTGATACTGTCCCAAGGTAGGATCATAGGGGTAGTACGCAGCTGCTTGAGTGATTCCCGCATGCGCAGAAGCTGTGGCATCTTTAGTGTCAAACGTCCCCTGCAATCACACGTGAAGACAAGAAGCATTGAGGAGATGGACACCATTATTGTTTTACTCTTAAAAAGAACTCCACCTGCAGAAACCATCTCATCCATCTGATGTTTGTGTCTATTTTAATGCTGTCATACAAAGAAAATGTAAAATATTTGCTTGTATTATTAAAACAACAAAAAAAAAACACATCTCTACTGTTCTAATTGGTCTTTGTGCACATTAATGTCAATGCAACTGTTAATTAAAAGTCCAAAACTTTAACATTTTACAAATCTTTAACTTGGGTTTGCTTTGTTTATTCTAAAATAACAACGTTGGAAAGGAAAGGGTGCTTTTGTGACAGGAAAATTATTTTATATCAGAATTGTTTACCTTTGATATCTTTGATATTTATCTTTCAATAATGTCAATAGAAAAATCAAAGCCAACTTGTGCTTGATTTTAGTATTTCACCTTGTTTTACGGCACCCTGATTTATTGTTTTATACACTACTCTTATTTTAACTGCAGTTTTACTGTAGTGTTTTGTTGTCATTGTTTACTGTTGTTGTTGTCTGGACTTTATATGTTCTATTGGAACAGGTCTCTCTTGTAAATGAGTCCCCGTGGCTCAATGCCACTAGCCTGTATAAATAAAGGTTGAATGAATTGATTCTGTCCTCATTTGCATATTTTGAACACTTTTTTTTTCATATATAGATATTCAGCAAAGTCTTTTGTGGAATTTAATGTATGTTTTGTGTGTGTGTGTGTGTGTGTGTGCGTGTTTGCTGCAATGGATGTTTAAACTGTGCAATGAAACTCACTGTGATTGTAATTTTTTTATTATTATTATTTTTCTCACCACTGTTAACACTTACAAAAAGAAGCATTTTATCATTTTAGGGCCAGATAAATTTGTTGCATTTCAGTCACAGTTTTGTTGTCATTTCTGAACTTGTTTTCTTCTATAATTAACTGATGGTTTAGAAATACAACATGTTTTAAAATATCAGGCAAGTTATTTTCTGAGCTGTTTGACAAAACTAAGGTTCAAAACGTGGTTTGCCAAGAAGTAAGAGCCTAACTAACATTTTCCGGGGGGGGGGGGGGGGGGGGGTGAGAGGTAA